AGATTTTATTTATTTATTTGAGAGAGAGAGAATGAGAGAGAGCACATGAGAGGGGGGAGGGTCAGAGGGAGAAGCAGACTCCCTGCCGAGCAGGAGCCCGATGTCGGACTCGATCCAGGGACTCCAGGATCATGACCTGAGCCGAAGGCAGTCACTTAACCAACTGAGCCACCCAGGCGCCCTCCCCTCATATATCTTATTGCTGGGCTCATATTCACCTTTTGATATTTTTGTTTTTAAACTTTACTGAATCTTTTGAATCCTTTACTCTCCCTTAAGATACAGAAAGGAAGATGGGTACCATACCAGAACTCCGAGCTGTGCAATGCTATGACAAAAGTCTTACGTCTTGGAGTAGGACTCACTCTGAAACCTGTATTTTTTTAAAAAGATTTATTTATTTGAGAGAGAGAGAGAGAGAGAGAGGGAAAACATGAGTGGGGGGAGGGGCAGAAGGAGGAGGGAGAGAGAGAATCCCAAGCAGACTCACTGCTGTGCCTGGAGCCCAATGCGGGGCTCGGGGCTCTCTCTCATGACCCTGAGAGATCATGACCTGAGCTGAAACCAAGAGTCGGACGCTCAACCGACTGAGCCACCCAGGTGCCCCTGAAACCTGTCTTTTTAAAAAAATTTATTTATTTATTTGAGAGAGAGAGAGAGAAAGAGAGAGTGTGCACGGGCACGAGAGAGCATGAGCGGGGGAAGGGGCAGAGGGAGAGGTAGAAGCAGATTCCGCACTGAGCAGAGAGCCCAATTCTATTCAGGGCTCTATCCCAGGACCCGGGCATCATGACCTGAGCTGAAGGCAGACGCTTAACCGACTGAGCCACCCAGGTGCCCTGAAACCTGTATTTTTAAAAAAACAAATAAGAAACTCTGAAAATGTACTCTACTTTTATGAAATTTCAGAAACCCTGTTGACTTTCATCATCTGTGAATTTGATAAGAATATTACGTTATTTTAAACTAGAATAATCTCCAATCACTGAGCCTTCAACTCCAACTCTTTATATATGAACCTCAAGGACAAACTGCTATAGTTTAAGTTTTCTAACAAGTTTGCTTCCTGGAAAACACCACAGGCATCCTTTAAGTTCCTACAGTGCCTTCTGGCTTAGGCTTCTATCTCTCTGCATAGGGTCTCTTGGCCCACCCAACCAGTCATGTGGTACCATCACCTAGGGCTCAAGGTCACCTGAGCAACATCTGCCTTCAGTGTGCTACTAAAAACAATGAGATTATGCATAGAACCTAACTGTGATATTGGCTCTGCAGGGAATAATGGAACTTCAAAGAGGCAAGCACATGTGCTCGCTTCGGCAGCACATATACAAAGAGGCAAGCACAGAACAAAACAAAGACCACCTATGAGCTAAAATTTGAGCATCCCGAGCCACTGGTGATAGGTGTGTTTTTATCCATAAAGCAATAAGAGAGCTGGGCTTTGGGCCAAAGTGAAATAAAAGGAGTTAACTTGAGGCTGCTGGACTGAACTAAGGGAACTTGGAGTAGACCTCCTCCTCTGGCAGAGAGTACTGCAAATTCGCTTTTAAGAAAAGTGTCCACAATGGCAAACCTAGGTGTTTCACTGGCCAAGATGCACTTATGAACTTCCAATGCAAGATTACCAAAATACTCAGGGAAATACGCCTTCATGAGTGAGAGCCAATATTGGATTTAGACCTCCTAAGAAATTTAGATATTGGAATTAGCAGATAAAGAAATTCAGAAAAGAATGATGAGCGTAATGCTTAAAGATATAAAGATGGAACCACAAGAATAAGCAAACAATGAGACTGTGAAGAGCAGACCAGGCAAATAAAATTTTTAGAAATGAAAAACATGATTGGACTAAACGTAGCTGAAGAGATAATTAAGGAACTGGATAATAAATTATCCTGATGTAGTACTGAGAGATGAGGAGATAGGAAAATACACGGATTAAGAAAGTAGAACGTATTTCGGGGGGGAGGGGCAGAGGGAGAGGCAGAGGGAGAGAGAGAATCTTAAGCAGGCTCCTCGCCCAGTGCAGAGCCCAACACGGCGCTCGATCGCACAACCCTGAGATCATGACCTGAGCTGAAATTAAGAGTTGGACGCTTATCTGACTGAGTCACCCAAGTGCCCCGGGAGGGTAGAATTTTTAAAAATCCAGTGTAGGCAGAGAAGGTGTAACATGTCTAACGAGAATTCCAGAAGGAAAGAATAGAGAAAATGGAGGGGGGCAGTATATAAAGAGATAATGGCTATAAATTTTCCAGAACTGATGAAAAAACTCGCATCTACAGACTAAAAAAAGTAAAGCGTATACCAAATACCAAGCAGTATAAATAAATCCACACCCAGACACATTGTAGTAAACGTACAATACAGAAAATACAAAGAGTATTTCAAAAGCAGCTAGAGAGAAAAGACCCACAAAGAAAAATTATTAGACTGCTAATCAGAACCAAAAAATCTCAATCAAACATGATCACATACCACTTCCTTTCTCAAAAAAATTTCAATGGCTTAATGAAAAAAGTCTGAATTCTTCAGAGTTTGGTATTTAAGACCTCCTATAAATCTATTACTAATCTCCTCTTCCTGCCAAATCTTCTCATATTGCCTTTACTAAACTGTTTTAAGTGGTAAAATATATGTCAACAGAAAACCAGACAATTCTGTTACCATAAACACGGGTTGTTTCTGTAACATCCAGGCTCTGACTATGCTGTTTTTACCTGCTGGACTGGCTTCCTGCCATCGCTGCCTCCTGAATTACACCTTTTCTTAAAGACTCTGAACCTTCTCCAATCACTCCGGTGGGACAATCTCTCCCAATCTGTTTTATTTCTCTTATAGCATTTATAGTAATATACTACCTTATATTACAGTTATTAATGTATATCTTATTTTCCAACTAAATTATGACGTTTTAAAGACATGCCTTAGGTCTAACCTGATTTTTGGATTTCTCCCTCCCCTATACCCTCTGTCCAATAACTGATGATACAGTCTGAATACATGAAAACTGGCCAGGACCAACTATTTAGGAGGAGAAGATTAACCTCTGGCAGAGGTCTAAAATAACTTAGAGAACTCGTCATGAACCACTCTTCTCTGGAATTTCCTGGGTGCTCAGGACTCACCTGTTTTGGCTGGCAAAAGATGCCTGGTCTATAGGCAGGATGCTTTCAGGCCACGGGGCAGTCTGATTTGGAGGAGCTTGTTGTTGGCTATACTGAGGTCCCCCCATGTTCATCTCTAATTCAGATGGCCCTAAAAAGAGAGAAGACAAAAATCCAAAAACTTTACAGCTTGTCATCAGGGAAGTGCCTATTTCCACTATGTGATACAAAGTGAAATACCTGGTTTACATAAAATGAAAAAGACAGATGCAATAATAATTAGGTAAAAATAGTAAGACTGAATTTTTGTTCTGAAATAGAAACAAAGGCAATAAATATCAAGGCTTATCACCCACTTTAGGCAATATATACAGTGGCAGCTCTAAACTTTCTGCAATGAAGACTTTTTATAGTCTCTTTTTTTGAGAGAGAGTAAGGGGGCGGGGTGGAGGGGCAGAGGGAGAGGGAGAGAATCTCAAGCAGATTGCCCACTGAGTACAGAGCCCATTGGGGGTGGGGTGGGTGGAGTGGGGGGCTCGATCTCATGACCCTGAGATCATGACCTGAGCCCAAATCAAGAGTCAGAGGCTTAACCGATGAGCCATCCAGGCACCCCAGCACCCTGACCTTTTAGTTTTGTTTATGCGGGTATACCTTATTGATACTTACTGTATGGGAAATTCACATTGGAAAGTAGAAAAAAACAATTATTCATTCACTTAAAATAATTACAATAAATCCGCTATGTGTTAACATAAACAAGCTCTTTTTTTTTTTTTTAAAGATTTTATTTACTTATTTGACAGATAGAATGAGAGAGCAAAGCAGGGGGGAGTGGCAGAGGAAGAGAGAGAAACAGACTCCCCGCGGAGCAGGGAGCCCCATGCGGGGCTCAATCCGAGGACCCTGAGATCACGACCTGAGCTGAAGGCAGACACTTAACCGACTGAGCCACCCAGGCTCCTCTAAACAAGTTTTTTAAATAAGAAATGAAAAAAACCCTTTTACTGGCATTGTTTTAGATTTTTGAAAATCACTTTAATTAAGTCTGGATTGATAGAGGAGAGCCGGAGACTCCTACGTGCTCTCACATTCCACCTACGGTGATATCACACAGCATGTAACTTCCAGAACTCGACTGCACACTTGTGAGAGGTGAGAGTGAAGAAGGCCAGGAGTGTCTCAGGATTATTATGGAAATAGTTTAGCCTTACAGACCCCCTGGAAGGGCATCAGGGTCCTGGACCATACTTCTGAGAAGTGCTAGATCACTTGTTCCTAAACTTTTATCAACTGCAATTCAGTTAGCTCTTCCAGAAGAGAGAGGGTGGAACAGAAAGAAGGCCCAGACAACTCAGATGTGCTCTTAGAAGTTCTTTTTAGAGGTTTAAAGCTAATGGATGACACGAGCTTTTCAATGATTTTATTGTTATCACCATCTATACACCTGTCTTCCGTTAAAATAGGTAATTTTCTGTTGAGTTCAGGGCTTTTTTGAATTTATTAAAAATCAAGAGAAATTCAGCTACACAATACACAGCTCAAAGGCCAGGTGAGGTCTCTTCAGTAAAGAAATACGGAGAATAAATTAAATTTCTGGATATAAGGGATTTATTAATTATGATATTTATTTATTTATTTATTTAGTATTTCAAGTAACCTCTATACCCAACATGGGGCTCAAGAGTGACATGCTCTACCGACTGAGCCAGCTAGGTGCCCCTTAATTATGATATTTTAATGAATGAATCAATACATTAAAAAATTTCTCAGCTTAATTTTGCATGAAAATCTGGTCATTTTTAGCACTGTTCCACAGAAGCCTCAAATTATATGAATTTATGTTTGGAAATCACTCATCAATTCGAAGTACATTCTCTGCAGAAAGGCTTTCTGAATGTCACCTCTCAGAAATAAGCCAAAAATGTGCTGAGCAATTACATAACTAGGTAGGAAAGCGGAGGCCAGAGGTAGGATGAGAATTCTGCGTTGTCTTGTCAAAACAATCCTGGTACCTTTCCGTTAATGATTTAGCTCTTACTCATTGTGCAATATCTAAGTATACGAAAAAGTACATAAACATTAACTTATCTGATTATGCTAATGTGCAAGATTTAGAAGAAGGTTAATAGGTCGATGATTAAGAAAACAATCTCAAGTATGAGCTGTACAGACCATTAACTTTTTTTTTTAAATAACAGTTTTACCGAAATATAACTGACATGTCACACAATTCACCCATTTAAAGTATATGACTTAGGGGGTTTCAGTATATTTGCAGAGTTGTACAACCATTACGATAACCGGGTTTAGAACGTTTTTATTCCCCCCAAAAGAAACCCCATGACCACTAGGAGTCACTCCCCATGTCCCCCATACCCCAAGCCCTAGGCAACCACTTACCTACTACTTTCTTTCTCTACAGATTTGTCTGTTCTGGGCACTTCATACAAACGGTGTCGTATAATGTATCAGACCATTAATTTTAGTAACATGTGAACTGTATCCAAATAGAATTTTAGCGATCCTCACATTTTGTGAGATGTTCTAAGATGACCTTGTACCTTCAGTGAGGACCCTGGAAAGTCTGGTTTAATAGTCTAGGATGGTGGCCCAAGAATCTGCGTCTTAATGTCCTGAGATGATTCTGATGATCACCCAGAGTTAGGAACCACTGCTGTAACATTGAAATGTTTTTAAAAAATATCATATGTATAACATTTATAGTGTGACACTCCAATTCACTCCTCCCAAAGGTTGAAATTAGATAATCTAATAAAAATAAAACACCACAAATGTAGTTGGTTCTTTAATGTAACTAGAAAGCTTTTCAGATTCTTTTTTTTTTTTTTTAAAGATTTTATTTATTTATTTGACAGAGAGAGAGATAG